AGTGAATGATGTAAAAAAAAGATGAAACAAGTCGTCAAAATGTCAGAAAAAAAAATAATAACAAAAAAATGTTTGAAGGTCATTTGTAGTTTGTCGAGAACCCCCCCCCCCCCCCCCCCCAAAGTCACATATTAACTGTTCTTTTGGATTAGGGGAAAGGGGGGGGGGGGGGGGGGGGGGGGGGGGGGGTAGGTGGTCAGGTTTCCTAAATTAATCCGCGTTGAAAACTATGTACATGAAAGCTAACGTCTCTTAAGACGGACATCGTTAAGCTTCGTTACGTTTGAACAGGCCGTACTCTTAAAGGTGTCCACCTCCAAGAGTTGACGGAAATGAGTGAAGAATGGCATAGATAAACTCTAGGTGTCTGTTTTAGAGAGCCTTTCTATACAAAGACGTCTGTTAAGATAGCTTTAACTGTATTTTCTATGGTTACCATGCACGATATTCGTATATTGATAAGAGGGAGTATCCTTTTGGAATCACTATGTATTATTGTATGAATAAGTATGTTTTTCACCTTGTATGGTGATTATATAATTTAGCAAATTGATTAAGGATGGAAATAAAGATATGATTTTTGCAGCAAAAGCGGTGTGTCAGTGATAAGAATTTCCATGGACAATTCACATTTACAAGAACCTATAGTGACCAACAAATAAAGCGAGACAGCTAGAAAACTCTGCAAAAAATCTCGCGCAAAGGTCCAGGATTTAGCGTCCTTTTTACAACTCAGTGACAGTTTTTAAAAAAACGATCCGATGTCAGATATTTTGACCAAATCATTATCAGTCTTTAATTTGCGCTACCGAGTTGAAGATCTGAAAATGTGGAAGGGTACAGTGGACTTATATTTTAATCTATGTGCTTGAAGCAAACTGAGCGCCTTATCAATTTTATCTGCAGCTGTAGATTCGAAGCATAACAGACAACATTGTACGATAAAACGTCCGGCAGTTTTGAAGTTACAAAAAACTTTTTGTCGGTGACTTAATGGTTATAGAAACGTACACTTTACATAAAGAGGTTCTTGACTGAAAACAATAGGGAACTCAAGCAACAACGACGGCGACGGTTAAGAAAACGTCACTTAAAAAATGGCAATTTGCACTAATTCAAACTTTATTGCGCTTATTCCATCTCGTTAATTTTGTCTAATTTTTTAGTAAAATTCTTCTAGATTTGAATACTAAATCACTGTATCGAAGTTCAAAGAAAAGGAAAAATAAGTCCTTGTCTTATGTTTACTTCCTCCATAAAGCGTGAAATTGGGCAGTTTCACGTCGTAGTCGTGCAGTGACGGCAAAGAAATGTACAAAAAAGCGTGATGCACGTGCAAAGTTGTTGTTTTGCTAATCTAAACCTATTGCTTTGTTCCCGTTCTCGTTGCCGTCGCAGTCGTCGTTGCTTAACGTCTTTAGACCGTGATAGTGGATTTATAGGTGGCAAAAAATGAAGTAGCTTTACAACAAAGGGAACATGAATTTGATGTCGGTAGAATGAAGAAGTTATTGACAGCTATGTTCTTGGCCGTAGATGAAGTTTTCACAGCAATATTGGATGTTTTCCGAGGTCGTTTATGGCTAGCAATGCTGAACCCCTTCCAAGGATGTTTTGCTCGATGACGCCGATCACAAATATTCATGAAGTGTTTCAGGTATTTTTACAGCCAATAAGAGCCGCGTATGGAAAGCCACCTGCACTGACTTTTACATACCTGTGGGACAATAACGAGAAAATATTGCAAGAAAATAACAAAGAATATTTGCTTTGAAATATCAACGAGGATGATTCTGAAGAAAATTCCACAGTCGCTTGTACGAGGAGAATTTCCAGGTAGGAAACAAAATCATCAAAAATCTTTAAAATTTAAAATGAATTTCATTTAGTTGTAGCTCCCTTTTAGCATCAGGATTTCGAAAAGCGTAAATTAAGATATCAGAAAATACGAAAATGAAAGCCAGAGTTCTGTTATGAGGGTATCAATGGAAGAATTATAACAAGGCTTCTTTGAAATACACCACTTTATGCATTGCAGTAAATCAACGGCTCCAAAGTGCTCGGCAAACGACCCATATGTTCGTAGAAAAAGGAAAGGGAAAGATAATCACACACTCAGTATAAAAAATGTAAAAATTATAGCCTCCTTCACTGTGATGCATCTTAGATTCTATGCGTACTCATTCTAGAAACAGTTAGTAATGCTCCTGTGACAGCAGTGTCCTGCAGCATGAGCAGTGTCCTATAGCAGTCAAATGGTCACCTTGGGTCTATACCAACAAGTACAGCTATTGGTTACATGAAAATTTCCTGTCTTAGCCAACAATTATTCAGGATATTCCTTTCTATTTTCTGACGACTGGGTTTTCTGCAGTCATCACTTTTTTTTTCTATTTCTTCTCGCACAAAATTCATATTGCAACATGTCGCCCACCAAAGCCATAAACAGACGCTGTGGTCGGCCAACCAGACGCCGAACCTTGCGACCGTGGAGAATTTTTAATTTAGTTCAAAAACACTGCAAGGATATTATTATGATCTTATCAGAAAATCCTCGCTCCGAAGAAGAAATTCCATTTTTTGTTTCTTTTTTTCTGGTTAACCGGGAGCTATTTTGACTACTAGTATAGAGTAAACTACGGTCCGTTGGGTTGGTACCGTTGCAAATCCTCGTTATTTATTATGTTTTAAAACTCTTAAAAAAGAGGTTCAAGGGAAGAGCTCTAGGACATGGTCTTGAGTTAATTTGCCTCTTGAAAAAAATTCGCTGCGGGTACTTTGCATAACCAAACAGCTTGACTGTATTACGTTGTGTAATATGCATGAGGTGTCCAACACCCGTTCCTTCTGAAATGCAATCTACTTGTATCTGGCTGTAAGTCGGATATAGAGAGAGTTTGAAAATAAAATACCGGTCAGTTTAATTCAGTTGACTCACACATCGGAATTTCATTAATTTAGAAACAATCTGCTTGAGTGATTAAAACATTAAAAGAAAGAAAAGACTAAAATAGTGAGGGAGATGTCTCTCTCCACTGAAGTTCTCGACTAATTTATACTTCAGTTTTCTTTATTCTAACCTAACATTGATCTTGGAAATCAGAACTGAACGACTGTCAAAAAGTATGGAAATTTACCAGCATTTTTATTAAAGGCCCTTATAACACTACCAATGAATGAAGGCAAAAAGAGCGGCTGATGTTAGGTTTATCACGGAAATCGTGAAATTTAACATATTAATAATTGACATGTAAAAACACACATCTTAAGAGACAGGAAGATTAAAAAAGCTTCGACACAAAATAACACTATTGAAAGAAGAAGCGCCTCTCTAGCTCTTTTGCACGAAACTTTAGAACAGACAAAATGACTCAAAAGTGGTAAATGAACGAGAAATGTGTAAGACAGATTATGCCATTACCATGGATACGATATGGCTTCGCGACAACGATGTCTTAAAGTCAATATCCTGAAATAATTTCCATAGCGTTGAAGATGTGAAAGTTCTTGAGTTATAAGCGTCAAAGAATACAGCCAAACAGATTATGCAATATATCGTCGAGCTAAATATGGCAAACAAAAGTTTAAACAGCTGACTTAATGAGGATTTGTCATTCCCGGTTAATCGCTGCACAAAAAGAATTTTCAAAACAAAAATGGCGGTTGTAGCACTGAAACCGCTTGATTTCTGCAGTTTGTTTCTTTATTTTACGGGAGTTTGATAAATGATCTTCTCGGTGAAAGTGTGATGTCGCCTGGACAGTGAAGCTGAGAATATAAAAAGCGCATCGCATCAAAAATAAGAACGTTGAAAATGGCGTTCCCCCCTTGGCAAATTAACATATGACAAAGACTTATTTTATGTTAATAGATGTTATGAGGCCAAACGAATGAAACAGGTCTAGCATGGAAGGCTCAAGTACAGAAAATGGAGAGAAACATACAGCCGAAAAAACGGAAGGCCAAGAAAATAACAAGGATGAAAGCTTTCGGCAGGAAATTGAGGACATAGTGCGAGGTTTCATAATCGAGAAAGATATTTTAGCTCAGAGCCACGAAGAAGAAATCAACCGCATGAAACAACGCTTTGACCTAGAAAGAAAACAGCTTTTGAAACAATTGGAGATGGAAAAAGAACAAATGATTGAAGCTTCTAGAATAGGTGAATCAGAGAAAGAAGTAAGCTTCGCGCTCTCGAATGCATTTGTTTCTGAAGCTGGGCGAATGCAATCGTTTTCTCACAGCTCTGGAGAGGGAAATCAATTTGCAAGTGGTTTTCATCGACAGTCAAACGGTGTTCTTGACATTGACGATGTAGATTCCAATTTAATACGAGAAATTGCCGAGGTCTACCTTAGAATAAACAATGGTACTCTGACAAGTCAAATGCGTCCCGAGTTAGACCTCGAAGATAAATACGAGAGAGAAAGAGAGGCGTTAGAAAGATCATTTCACTTAGAGAAAAGGGAGCTCAAACGAAAACTTGAAGAAGATTGCTATAGAAGGCTGGAACAAGAGCGAATAAAATACGAGGGGAACATAGCGGATTTAAAGACGACGATTTCCGAGCTTCAGTGGCAGAAAAGGGAAGCAGAAAACCTCACGAGGCATGAGAAAGAAAAATGGGAAATGAATACAGAAAGGGATAAAAATGAAACTGAAAAAAGACATTTGCAGATTGTCCAAGAAACTAGACGAAAATTAGAGGAGAAGCACAGTAGTGAGCTTGAAAAGCAAAGAAACAGATACGAGGAGAATATTTCGGATCTACAGACTGACATTTCTAAGTTAACAATGCAACTGAAAGAACTAAATGAGAATCTCAATCAGGAAAAAGAAATCATAGTGACCAAGTTCGAGAGAGAAGTCAAGGAAATGGAACAAGCGTTTCTGGAACAGAGGAATTCGTTGAAGGCCAATTTCGAAGCAGAATTCATGATGCGGATAGAGAACGAGACGTCACTACTCAAAAGTCTAAACATCAAGTTAAAAGAAGATTTGGAAAACATGGAGAAAGAAAAGAAAGAAGTAGAGAAGAGAGGAAAAGAAGACAAAAGGAAACTCGAGGAAAGATTTGAAGAGGAGATATCAGAAATGGAGCAACGGCACTCTGAAGAAAAACGTGCGTTAAAACTAAAACTTGAAGAGAGATACCAGCAAGGGCTTGTCAGGGAAAAGGGAGCACTAGAGGAAACAGTTCATGAGTTAAGCGAGGAAATAGCACTTCTTAAACAAGAAAATGCGCAAATGGAAATTACATTTGCAGAAAGAAGGGATGAATTACAGAGACGACTAGACATCGAGAGAGAGGAGATGAAAAGGGAGGCAGCTAACAATAGAGAAGAGATTCGGATGCACGTTGAAAAGGAGCTTTCTCAAAAGTTCATGCTTGAACAAGAGACCCGAGACGATGCGTTCCGACATCGGGAACGCGACGTATTGGTAATTCAAGCAAAGTATGATGATCTTGAGATGCAACTGAATGCACTGTGTCAAGAGCGGGAGATGCTGCTCAGAGACAAAGTGAACCTGGAAGAAAATCTAAAAACTAAGGAGAAGAGATTGACGGAATTGAACAGTGAAGGAATCTCGGGAGGAAATCAGGACGGGAGCTCAAAAATGAAGGAATTAATCAGAGAGAAAGACAACGAGTTAGCAGGCGTTAAGTTCGAGAACCAGCAACTAGAGTTAAGCCTTTCAGCGATGAAACGCGAAAAAGTTGATATGGAAGATGAGATAGTAAATCTAAAGCGGCGATTGTCAAATTCCCTGCAACAGTTTGGCAACTTCGGAGAAAATGTCAGCAGTGATTTGAAGTCTTTACAAGAAAAGTCGAGAAGAAAGGATGAACAGGAGCTAAGCTCCCTGCAGCGTGATAAGCACGAACTTGAAATTCGTCTCTCCTCCGTACAGCGTAAGAACGACGAATTAGAGGATGAACTTGCAAGTTTAAGACGCAAAAAGCTAGAAGTCGAGGATGAAATATCTGCTTTAAAACGAGATAAAGCTGAGTCCGATAATCAAGTGACTTCACTAATAAGGGACAAAGCTGAACTTGAAGAGCTCATAACGAATTTAAAGCGAAAACAAAGCAACCTAGAAGATACCATGTCCGCGATGAAGAGAGAAAAGGTGGAACTTGAGTACGAGGTTTCCGTTCTGAAACGCCACAACTCCACCATGGAGATCGAAGTTCACAGACTTTTCAACGATCAGCAGGAAAATTCACACCCTATTTATCACAAGCATGAACATGAACATGTTTCGCGCAATAATACGTACGGAATCATCGATGCACGTGCTGGGGAAATAAAGTCTCAATCCAAAGACAATTCGGTTTTTGACGATCGAGAAGACAGCACAGACAATGGAAGAAAAGTCAGTGAAATGAACAAGGTGATCTCAGATTTAACAAGGCAACAGCATGAGTTAGAGAGCTCTATAAGACGACTAAGCGAAGAAAAGGCTGATCTAGAAAAGGATTTACACATGCAGCTAGAATACAGACGCAATGTGTCGCATCAAGAGACCGAAAGTGTCAAAGGGAGGGAGGAAAATGAAGCCAACTGGGTTCCCCAGCGACAGAAAGATGGTTTGGAAAGACGAATAGTTTCACTGAAGGAGGAACAAGCCGAACTTGAGAGCAAAGTGTCCCAGCATCACAAAGAAGTGAAGAGTCTGGAAGAAAAACTCGATAATTTAAAAGATGAACGCGCTACGCTGGAGAGCGATGTCAGGACTTTGAGACATGAAAGACAAAGCTTTTCGAAAATGATTGAAAATGCTGAAAAAGGACACACAGCTGAAACGAGAGAAGGCAAAAGGCAAATGCAATTGAGCAGCCCCCGAGGTAAGGATGAAAAGTCTGCAGTAGCCAGCAACGAGCAGCAATTTACCGCTTTGAGCCATGAGAGAGATGCAATTCGAGCGGAGCTAACCACTTTGAAGAAGCAATTTGCCATGCTTAAAACAGAAGTCTCGACAAAGTCCATTCACAGGGATACTATTGACATTGACGAATATGATATTTCAGAGCTGAAAGGAATTCGCGTTGAGTTTGAGAGAGAAATTGCTGTTCTCAGAAGGAGAAAAACGGATTTGGAAGCGGCTATCGGTGAAGTGCAAGAGGATACGAGACGGGAAGAATACGAACTAAAAAATATGCGAAAACAAAGAATGGAACTTGAGCTCCAGATTACAGCTTTGAAGAGCCAAAATACAAGACTGGAGGCCGAGGGATCAGTGTTAAAAGATGAGCGAAAGAAAAGCGAGTGCGAAGTAGATGGTTTAAGGAGGGAGAAAGCTAATCTGGAGAAAGAGATATTTAGCTTGCAGATCAGAGCCCTGCAATTTGAAAGCACAGGAACAGGATCTGAAAGGGATTCGACAAAATATAAGAAACAGCAAGATGAGAAAGACATCGAAAGACAAACAAAGAAACAAGACGTGATCAGTTTGCAAAGCGAAACAGACAGACTTGTGACTGAAAAAAATAACTTGGAAAAGAAAATGCTAAGTTTGCAAAGCGAGCAACGCAGTCTTGAGGATGAGGCACGTGATTTAAAAGAACAGCAAAGCAGAGATCACTACGAGGTAGACAGGCTAAGAAGAGAAAAATTTAATTTGGAAGAAGACGTTGTTAATTTGCAAAGCGACAAGCGTAGAGAAGAAACTGAGATCTCCTTGTTAAGAGAGAAGCGATACAAAGAGGAGAGCGATGTCCAAAGGCTAACCCAGGAAAAAACAGACTTGGAGAGAGATATATTGAGCTTACAGGTCGGAAAAGAAAGACTTGAAAGCGGCACTCAAATAGGTGAATATGTTTGGAAAGAGAGCAGCCATGATTTAACTGGTTTACGGGCAGCACTACAGGACTTCACCGAAAATGTAGAGAGCTTCAAAAAGCAGAAGGAAGAACTACAGTCCGAGATGACAAGGATAGAGGCAATCAAAAAACACGACGAGGAAGAACTACGAGCTCTTCGGCAGGAAAAGACAGAGATGGAAATCGTCTTATCGAGATTGCGGGTGGAATGTAACATCGAAGGACGGGAAGAAGACAGTCAAGAACACTCCCAATTTAACATACCACATTCCCAGGTAACTAATTCAACCAAACTTTAAGAACCAGTTACCCTTAGGTAAATCTAAATTAATGAATATCATTCTTGCTTTGTCCAAAATTGGAAAACCCATCGAGCTCGAAAATTGAGGCGCATATTTGCGCAAGGCGGCGACGAACGCACAGGGGACCCGAAGCAGTAAACCTTAACGGTCGTTGTTAATCTTGCTCGTTTGGACACCCTTACTAAATATTATATGGTTATTAGGTTTCATCGGTTTTTCCTTCTGTTAGTGCATATGTAACAGGTTTGACTTGACAAGAAGAATATAAATTACTGCACTAGACAAAATGGACTATTGAATTCCCTCACCTAGGGGCCATAAGCAAAGCCATTGCAGTACTTTTCTGTAACAAAGTGGCTGTTTTAAACCAGGGAAAAAAAACTGGGACATGATCTGCTAAGATAAGCAATGCCGTAAATCAGAAAAAAAAGCAAGTCTAAAAAAAGATGAAAGGCGACGACTTTTAAAACTTAAACTGACCAACCAATTTTCCTTTACGCCTCTTATTTTAGGCGCAGCTGGGAAACATCAAGGAAGGGCTTTTAGAGGAAATAACAAAGATTCAGACAGCCAAGAATCAAGAAGAAAACGAGCTACAAAAGCTGCGACAACGGAAGTTAGAAATGGAGGCTTATATTTACCAGTTACAGGGTGAAAGAGGGCGTTTTGAAATGGAAAGAGAGCGATCTGAGCTGGGACCGCGTGAAAAGATGAGGGATGGTAAATATTTGACAGATGATGATACGAAATCAGGTAGTGTTGTACTTCACAATGGAGTGAAAAGAGAAGAGGGGGATACCTTACATAATTCCCACCTAGTCTCAGCCAATACATACAACCTCAGTTCCTACAGTTCAGAAGCAACTTTGATCAATAATTCTTACTCCTACAACCCTCACCTTGCGTTCATTCAAACGGACGAGACAAACGGATTTGGAGGTTCTATGTCAAGCAAAGATTCCGTCAAAGAAGATAACGATGTGATCTCCATGAAAAGAGAGAGAAGCGAGCTAGAAAGCCAAGTCAATGATCTACGAATACAATTGACACAATTACAGACAGAAGTTACAAGTTTAGAAAACAGAAAAACTATGCTAGAAACAATACATGGCAGCTATGTCTCTGAAAGTACGAAGACGGGACAGATGAATGGGCGAGGAGTAGGTGTTGACTCTGATGTGGATTTGGAAATTACAAAGACCATCACAGAGGTAACGAAAATGAAAAAAATTGCTACCTCTGCAAACAGTTCGTTTGTTACACCATGAATGCAGAAATATCACTCAAAAGCGTTGAGTTCTCTAAACACCCGGGAAACACAAAGTCATAAAATTAAGAAAGGAAAAAACTGCTCATGGAATAGCTTTTCACATCTCTCAAGTGTTTTGAGATTCTAACGGGCTTGCTTAAGTCAAAAATGTATTGGTGATAAGTAAAACATACATTTTTTTTTCAGAAACATTTGACTTAATTCTTTGTGCACACTTATTGATGACCTTGGTCACGTGTATTTTAATGTTCACTGGATTTAGGAGATGGGGAATGTGCACTGTAGTAATGCAATGTCTAACCACCACACACGCCCAAACAATAACAGCATTAAGGCTCATCTCTTATGTTTAAGCCATCGCAAAAGCATCAAGAGTTACTATGGTAACCATGATTTTATTTCATTGAACTACAGGACAGGAGAGATTTGCTAATCCAGGAATATGAAGAGCAGATTCGAGAGCTCAGGCAGAAAAAGGTGGAACTGGAACAGAAAGTGAGTGTCTTGGAATGGCAGCTTGAAAATATGAAACAGAAGTTAGAACTTCAGGAAATAAGTCACAGACGAGAGATTAGCAGTTTAAATGAGAAGGTAAGCTACTGAACTTTTTAAATGAATTGGCCTGTTAGTGAAAGCACTAACTGGAAAATAATGATGATAATAAATAATAACAGAAATAATAATAATAATGATGACGATGATGATGATGATGATGACGATGACAATGACAATGAGGATGAAGATGAGGATGATAATAATTAACAATTATTGTTTGAAATCGAGGAGAATAGTGGCTGAATATTTACCGAGCTGTGAGGCGGTGAGGTAAATATTCCTAAAGCCACTATTCACCGAGATTGGAAAGAATAATGGGTATTGTTTTAGTATATACACACAAAGCAATCTCAAATCAGAGAGGAAACCATTAAAAAGTATGATTTGATTGACAGATCAAATCACGCGAAAGTTTAAAAATAGATCTTTGTAGAATTTTCAAACATGGCAATTCACAAGCTTATCACTTCGCAAACAACAGTGTAATGGCTTAACTGGAACCGTTAAAAGCTTGAATTGTTTCCTTACCTGAGAAGAAAAGTAGGACTTTGTTATTTTCTGTTGACTTGCCAAGTTTGTAGCCGAAAAGGTTTGTTGTGTCATTCTTCACATGACATTCTGACAAAAATGGCAGCACGGTTCCTCGCGGTAAGACGTCGTCTTCATGTAGCATTCTTTCTCCTATTTACTTGAAACATAGAATTTCTGCAAACATTTGCTTTCAAATTTTTTAATCACAAATAAATCTCAATTTTTGGGCCAAATTTTTGTTGTTAGGAAACGCTGACTTCACAAAATGGCCTCTTCTACACGAATAAACGGGAGTTGTAAACAATCCATTAACCACAAAATTCAGCTACAGTAAATTGAAAAACATCGTTTTAAATCCTTCAAAGTCTTTCCTTGCCTAAAAAAAAGTCAACCCTAGGATTTTGTCGACTTTTAAAAGATCATTCTCTAAAAAAATGGGTAAAAAACCTTGCTCACACATTATTCACTCGCTAGAAGGTGAATATTGTTGAATAGTCGAACCAATCAGATTGCTTTATCACTAAGATCACTGAGTGTATATACGAATGATAAAGATAATGACAATGAATGATAATGCTTTGCTAATGCTAATTATGCTATTATGCTAATGATAATGATGAGGATAATGATAGTACAATAACAGTACTAGGTATCTTTAGTCTTAACTCGTTTTGTTGGGTAGCAATCTCACCTCTAAAAATGCACGTCTCACTCCAGAACCAGTCTCTGAATGGTTACCATGGCACTGAGAGAAAAGATGACACCCTCCATGAATTTTACCAGAAGCTTTCGTATTTCCTGATGTCAGGTGAACACAGCAACAAGGAAATCATGGAGGAGATTGAAAGGCAGATTTCAAATCTACAAGAGAAGGTGAATGTCATTTATTTCTGCCATAACCATAGATTCTGACAAAAAGTGGCGACCTCTCGAAGCATAAACATAATTCTACGAGTAGAGCTGAATAACTTGTTTTAACTTGTCAGTCCTCTGGTTGATTACCTGTTTGTAAACCAAAGTTGCAGAAGGACCTGTATCAGAATTTGGGTCTGATTTTATGCTGCAAAAAAATCAACATCAGTCTGCCTGATTGCTATGTGCGCCACAACCTGGTGGTTTCTGATCCCATTGTAAGCAGTTGTTGAAACCAATCCCTGAGTTCAAAAGGCTGCTACCTTGATTTCATATTATGACCAGTCGATTTGTACTCTTTCCAGTTTTTTATTACACCACATTAAGAGATCACAACTAGTGGCAGCCTCTCAAACTTAGCAACTACAATCACACAACATGGGACGTTTAAAATAGCCAAGTTCTGGCTCTGTCAGACAACGCCGGGAAGAGGGAAGTAAGAACTGGAAAAAAAGGCGTAAAACCTGACAAATGGGAATCCGGTCGTTTCTCTCGATCTGTAATTATCATTCTTTAAACTTTACTGAAAAAAAGTAGCCGAAACCATGCAATTCCCTGCCTGTCGTTTAATATAACGTTGTTGTCCGCATTAGGCTAATCAAAATAACGGCAACAAAAATTCTTCTTACCCTTGTTTGCTACCTTGGTGTAGCAGCCTGATTCCTGTGGGTTTGCCTGTCGTTTAAGTAAGAATGGAAGCAATTTTCGCGCAACCTGCAGAAAGACCCAATTTCCTTTTCGTCTGCCATACGGACTGAGCTTCTTAAATTCAGCAGGGAGCGTGTCGCTTGGGCTTGATCTTGGGTTCCGATCCATGGGAAAAGCGACCATTCGATCTGTTTTTTCTTAGCAACTGCAGCCCTTAAGCAATTCTTGTCAAAGTAGGTGTCTAAAATCTGCTAAAATGCAGTATTTTCTTCGTAAACGAACATATCCATAACATTCCGCCATATTTTTATTTCCAATATCCCGCGGTGAAAATGGCTGCGAAAAAACTGGTAACAAATAAGGCAGGCAGCATGGCGAAGCGTGACAACTCTGTAACGCAATTTGATGTCTTTAAATAAATAAATAAAATAAAATAAGGTAAAATAAATAAGTAAATAAATAAAAAGAATGAAATAAATAAATCACGCAACATTTCTTAATTTGCTTATGAGCAATCCATTTTGTGTGTTGCAGGCAGATTTTGATTACAAGAACACAAAGGAGTCTCTGAGTTCGCCGTCCGTTAAGTTGGAAAAAGACAAGATTACCTCAGAAAGTGAAGCAAGGCTGGCTAGAGAGTATGCAAGCCATTTGAAAGCACAGGTGAGAGACACGATAATAGCGCGTTGTTGGCGCGATAAAATACATTTTAAGCTACGGCCGTGAAAACGGGCAAAAAAAACGTGAAGCTCGTTTTGCAAAACTTCCGCGAAACTAGTTGAAAAGGAATTAAATGTTTCGCGTTTTTCTACCCACGTTCTAACCTGTTTCGTAACAAATCAGGTTGTTGCAACTTTTTGCTGAATACTGACTTCCGATTGGATAAAATTACGCGGGAGTCACGCTATACACCGTAGTTACGTCACTTGTCTCAAAACAAGTCTGTCTTGGGCCGGTAAAACGCGCAACTACATGTACAGATTTTGTTGCAAACTGAGTAGTACTACTCGCTACTTTCTGCAAAATTTTTTCACAACCTGCAACGCTGGTTTGCTGTAAGACAGGTTGGTTAAGACACGTGCCTGGCGTGTAAAATCACTATTCATTCGTTTTGCAGCAATTTAATGTTGCAAAACAACCGAAGTTGCACGTTTTTGCTGCAAGTTTTAGGGTACCTCAAGAAAATCGGCCATAATCGGTTTGTGCGTGGCCTTTTGCGCGATGCCTTCTCTGCGGTAGGTCTCGGGTTCCATTCCCAGATGTGACCTGAAATCCTTTGTTTCGACTTCTTTAATAACAAACCGAATTGGGGCAAACATTGATAACAGAATCAACAACACATGCGATTGAACAAGATGGTAAATCTATTGACTCCTATTAGCTCACTTTGACTCACCGGATTACCTTACATAGTAGGGCGATATTGAAACTCGCGCTTAACCTTTGTACTGACCTGTAGTCATCTCTAAGTTGAAATGATTTTGTTTGTACAGATGGAAACTGCAGATAACCAACTCAAAACGTGCGAGAAAATAATTCATCGGCTTTATGGTGAAAACAACGATCTCACGAAGGAAAACCTCAATCTTGAAGGAAAGTTGAAGACTGCCTCTCGCTCCCAAGACAAGCTCCAACGTAAAAAAATCCTTTTGCAAAAACTAGTGGATAAACTTAGTCACCATATTGGAAAAGACTTACAGCACCAATCCTTTTTATTACTTGAGCTAGATAAAGATGTTTCTTTATGAAATGGACGGAAGGAGGAATCGCTCTTTCACTTTTTTTTTAACCCGACTCTTTTCTGCTGAGTTTCTAAGTCATTCAGTCAGGATATTGGCCAGCTTTTAAGAATTCAACTTTCTAGTTCACTATAAAAAGTTATATATAGTCATAACGACTAGGCAGTCCACAAAGGTTAGGGATCGGAGTGATACGGGAGGATCGATGCAAACGCTCTTGCTCCAACGGAGAAGGTTTCAAAACGCGCGAGATCAGTTTACAACGCGCGTGATCAGATTGCGTTCTATCAAAGGGGCTGTGTCACGGCAGTCCAGTTCATTTTGTTTAGTTTTGCCAATTACTCGTCCTCAATCGCTTTGGAACTTAAAGTGAGGAAAGAAATTACAGGTAAATGACAAAATCAGAGGTCCGAGACAAACGGTATGAAATATGTCTCCTGAGCATTATTTTTGAAGTTGCAAGCAGCAGTGATCAACTTTGAAAAACTGTTGGGCTGAACAGTTTTCAAAAAACCCTGATTTCAATCCGTTTCAATCTTCTTCAGTTTTGCCCATCCGTGGTATCTGTTGTTTCTGTTATGTTATTTTAACCTTTCTTTAAAGTTTTAAGCGGTTATTTTTATCATAGTTATTATAGGAGACTGGTTATGAAAAGCGGCAAACATCAATGATAAAAACAACAGTGCTGCAGTTTATGTTGGAAGCACCCTGAAAGTGCACAATCCTTTGTTTTCTGTTGGCAAATTGTTACGGAATAAATTATTGCAACGTTTTTATTGGTCAATACAATCAAAATGATAGGAATTCTTTTGAACGTT